AAAAGAAAATTCTTATGGGGATGTTTAAAAGATAGCGTTTAAGTTCCAAGGCAGGTCACTAATCTCGATAACAACAGCGTTTGCGTTCTTTTGTGGCACCTTTTACGCCAGTAGAAGATTTTTTTCTGCCTCATGTGAGCATTACTCAGCGAAGTGTGATAATTATATTATGTTTAAACGCGTCTGAGATGAATTCTCTCAGCGCATTGCTGTTGCCCGTGCTGCTGGTGACGGCCACATTAAATGCTTGTAAGAGAGACAGACAGACAGACAGACAGACAGAGAGAGAGAGGCAGAGACAGAGAAAGAAACAGACAGAGACGGAGACTGATAGAGAGCTTTCTTACAAGTTTTTACTTTCCATCTTTCTGTGTCTCTTCTATCCACTAAACCTTCCCCTTTTTCCTCAAGGGTGTGAGTTTCTCCCTATGTTCGAACCCCATCCTTCTTACAGAAGAATGAAACAACACGATTTTTCAAATACGTTTTATTTTCCCCTAAACACTTACGTGAGCAAACAAAATATGCACAAAAGCACACAACACATTATCTATATCATGGACATTATTATGTCACTATACGCAACCTTTGGTGATATACACAGTTTTTGATGTTACATAATAATATACCTTTTTGGAGTTATACATGTAGTCTTTGGTGTTATACTCAATCTGTAGTGCTACACATAGTATTTGATGTTATATACAATTTGTGGTATTATACTCAATCTAATGTGTTATGCACAATCTGTGGGGAGCTATACAATCTGTGATGTTATTCACAATCTGTGGGATGCTATACAGTCTATGACGTTGTACACAATCGGTGGTATTAAACACAGTTTGTAGTGTTATACACAATGTGTGGTGTTATAGGCCTACACAGTTTGTGGTTTTGTACACAATCCGTGGTGTTATTCAGTCATTGGTGTTTTACACAATCTATGTTGTTATTTATACAAAACCTGCAATATTACACACAATATGTGGTGTTATACACAATATGTGGTGTCATACACAGTTTCTTATGTTACTCACAGTCTGGGGTGTTATTTACAAAGTATGGTGTTATTCACAGTCTACAATGGCATACACAATATTGTGGTATTATACACATTCTGTGATGCTATAGACAATCAGTGGTGCTATACAGTCATTGGTGTTTTTCACAGACTGAGGTGTTATACACAGTCTTTGGTGTTATACACCATCTGTGGTGTTATTTTGTTACAAAACTAGAATCTCCGCCAAATTAATAATAATAATAATGGATTGCATTTATATAGCGCATATCCACTTATGCAATGCTCTATGCGCTTAACATGATACATATTAT